ATAATTTACCTAAATAATATGATATATTATATTCTACTGCATTGTTACGCATATCATCGACGCAGGTTAGCTTGCTATTGTACTTATAACCTATATGTATAATAACGACCGATCTATTAAACTTGCTTGTTAGTTGTTGAATAGTTTATAGTATACATTATACTATAGGTACTGCGCGAGATGTATTAACTAATCAATAATAATATTATTTTTTTTTAAAATTATAATATCTAATTTATTGTATTGTTTTATTTTGTTTAGCGTGAGATCGACCCGAGCGTCAGTGTGACTCCAGTCGAAGAAACGAGAAGAGAAGACAATTTAACAGTTTATTTTTAGAATATTTCGGCAATTCGAAATTAAAGTAAAATCTTAAGTATAAAAACTATGTGATAAGATCAAAATTATAACATAAGGTATTCATATATTATTACATTTATATATAGGTAGGTACATACGTCATAAAATGTGTATATAAATAAATACATTATTCCTTTTTATCGTGTTACATGTAGTCATATACTCATATATTGGTATATACTCGTAATATGTTAAGTATAGCTCTTAAATATATAAACATACAATTGTATAGAAATAATCATGTAGATTTTTAACCTTTTTTTGTAATTAACTTAATTTTATTTCTTTAAAATTTGTGTCTCATATACGGACTGAATTGTGTAAAATATCTACTACCTATATTATATATGTTTATTAAACATTTACAATTGCTGTTCAATAAATAATAATACATAAAATGGTATTTTTAATTGCTGCATTTGACGAAATATATTCACAATTCACTGGAGGTTATAATATTATGTATACATTCCTCATTATGTATTTTATTGTATTTATGTCATAAGCGTGCCCCACAAGGGCAGAAGCCAGCAGGACGTACTTTCCGGCCCCCTGAACGGTTTGAATAGATTTAAAAGGGCCGAACCGGTTCAATTATCCTAGCTGGGCCACCGTATAATGATCAACACAAAATAAGATAGTTATCCAAAAATGTATTAAATTATCAAGCTAATATTTTCTGTGTTTAATAGGTCTATCCTTAACACAGGCCTTTACTATAGTATATTATTATTATTAATTATTATTAACATTCATTAAAAATGTATAATATGACATATTGACGGTGAAGCCCGAAAGCGCAAATCGACCTTTTTTTTCGATAACTCAAAAGCGTAAAATGAATTTGTGCTTTTGTACCTTGGTAGTGGGATAAAAGCGCAAAAATAAATTGTATAACCTGACACAATATTTTACTGACCTAACGCTTGACTCTCTACGCTTTGCATATTGTAGGTATATAATCCGTTTCACGACATATTGCAGCAACTCGTCGCGACGGTTGTTGCATTTGTGCATTTGTCTTACAGTCTATGTCTATTATACAGTCAAATGGTCGAAAAACTACGAATCGCAAATCTAAAGCCATCTCCAATACAAAAACTTGGACCATGTGTAATGAAAAAAAAATTTCCAGATTGGAATATTTGAAGACAGTGGGCTTCAAATTTAAAATTAAATTTTAAAATAATATATTCAAAATAATACTCAACATTATATTTTTTATTTTTACTATTTTTATTTTATTTTTTATTACCAATTTTAATATCACTGTGACACTTTAAATGCTTAATTTAATATTAATAATAACTAAGATTTTAATTAAATACACTTTTTTTATAAAATTGATTTGCGCTTATGGGTTATTAAAAAGGTAATTTTTTTTGCGCTCATGGGTTATTTATTTTTGCACTTTTGGTTTGCGTTTGGGTCATATTTTGCGCTTATGGGCTACACCCAATATTGATGTATATCTTATATTAAAATTGATCGAAAACCAAAAATAACTAGGGTTACAGTCGTGTCATAACGATGCAATAAATACACTAATATTAGTATCATTGTCACCGTCCCCCAGTTCGCGTATTATAATATATAAGCAATTTGTAAGAAAAAATTTAAAAATTGGCCGGTAAAAATGTTTGTTCCACCTGACTTAAAACTCTGCGCATGCCTATGATTTATGTAATTGTGTATGATTTATTGTCTCATAGTTTGTCTGTGAAATAGACAACAGACAAATGATTTTACTAATTTTCAATGACATAGGTATATCTTTGATATTTTAGCCATTGTTTGGCAGAGTGGTTCTTCATAATACTTGGATTTTTTTTTTACGAACTCAGTATTATACAGTTTCACTTTAATAGTAATGCATACCGTTATTGCCAACAACTCATGAGTGCTTTTTAAAATTAAATTTCATTGAAGTTACAACTTGAAATGTTTGCTGATGTTTTGATTCTTCTGCTTTTTAATTTTTATCCTCCAAGCAATTTACTGTTGCACAATATTGTGTTTTACAACTAACTTTTAATATTTGATTCATGTTGTTTCTTTACGTGTGCTAAAACATAATTCATGAATCGTCATAGCTTAAAAATCAATGTGTTAAAAACATCGTAGAGGCAATAGGTACTATAAATAATTTCAACTTAATATAATGTTGGCTGTATAACCTGTAATATAGTTTGTTTTGGACTTATGGTGTGTAAAACTCATTATTTTAGGTTTTAATGATTGCGTATTAAATACATAATAAAAATGTATGGAATTATTCAATTTTTTTTTAGTTATAAATCGTAAGACTATTGCTATATATTTAAACTAAATATTAATTGTTGCTATCAGATACTTAAATACTTTTTTTTTAAATGCTCGAATACGGAAAAGGTAAGTATATACTCATGACGTCAATGTTCTACATTTAATCGCGTGACTATAATATTAAATACAATGTTTTCAGTGTTTTGTGTTTTAAGTAACTCATAAATTCTTAAAAATCCATAACACTTGAAAATAATAATTCTAAAAACCTTAATACCTATAGAAAACTTTGGTCTTTTTATAAATATTGAAGTTGGATTAGTGGAGATATAGATTCACAAATTATATTAAAATTTTCTTAAAAAAAGGAAAATATTATAGTTTCCGAGTATTCTTTCTTAGTTTATTGAATACTGTTGTGTGTTATTCAGATTTCTGAATCCTTCCATAGACGATATTTGTTATCAATATACTTTCTATAAATATAATTATTCATTACAAGCTCTATAACAAACTACGACTCAATGACTATCTACGCATTGGTCTTGTTATGAATGCATAGCTATTTTTATTCAAGAATTTGGTGTATATTTATTGTTTAATAATTAATTAAATTCATGTATTTAAATGTGTAAACTTTATTATAGTATTGATACTATAAATTAAGATACATTTATTTTCTCAATAATGTGTAGGTAATTTGTAGGCAATTATTTTAAAACATAAAAATGTATTTTCAACAATAAGTTAAGATGACGTACGTTAGTAAAACTTAATTTAATGAAGAATATAAAAAAATAAAACATAAATCAACTAAAAATAGTATCTATTCATTGTTGAAAAAAAATATAATGAACAAATGTGTGAAACTTTATAATAGCTTTTAAGTGTACTGTATACAGATAATATATTAAACTATAACTATGTATTCATAAATACATAATATAGTATATATCTTATATACCTACCTAAGTATAATATTATGATATATATATACATATAATACATATTTCCGACTTCAAACTCGGGACCAACTTACATCTTACATATTATATACTGTTTTTATACATAGGTATGTACGATAAACTGATATGTAGATGTATCAAACTTTTAGGTAAAAACTATTATGCAATACAACACGTCATACAAAAAAATCAATTTTTCAACACGAATAGCACAGGAACAAAAGAAATTTATAAGCAAATTTATAACTATGCAAATAAAGTATAATAATTAGGTCGTTACGACATAAATATAGTTGATACTTTATTACAGAATTATATACAATAGTAACCTCGCTATACTTCACCTTATAATTTAGTCTTGGAATAATACATTTTATTCAGTAGTTTATATCGGATACCAGTATATTACGCTAAAATGTTATTTTATCAAGGAGCTAATATTTTTAATATTTCACATTTACATTTTTGTAAATCCTAAATGCCTAGCTGAACATGAAATTCCTACAGTTTCGTTTTGTTTTGCAGTTAAAAAATTATATAAAATATACTTTCTTAGTATATTCTTATGCATACATAATATTAATATATATACATTTGTATATTACGTACCTACTTTGTTGTTATTCATTGCTATTTGAAAGATTTCCGATCGATGTCAATGATAATAGAAGCTGTAAATTCCCGAACATGACATCTTTTAGTAAGCACAACACAAACAGCGTTAGAAAAAACGCAACTTATTAATGTTGTAATGTTGTCAAACCGATGTATCATCCCAGTCAGGATCGTTTAAGACGAGTAAGTCACATTACAAATTTCAAAATTCGCCTTAAGTCAGTCGACTGTCTCCAATATTTAACCCTGAATAGGTACTTTTTCATACTATACCGCCGTCGAAAGGAACCCAACCTCCGTAACCGGCAACCGTTTAGGTAGACTAGGTATAAGATAGGTAGGTAATTAGGTATCTATCTATACCTAGGTACTAGATTTTTATCAATTTCGTTGAAGACATAGGTAATATTTCAATTTCATTCAGTTCATTAGTTGGGTTTTATATTATATACTGTACTCCTGTACCATCTCTATGTTAATAACTTAAAAGTTATAACTTATAGCATTGATTTTAAAATCAATGGTTATAATTTATTACCTTTGACGTCAGTCTATTTTTGTCCTTTATATTTTCATAATGCAATTAATATTATGTTGCACAAAATGATTGGTTAGTGGCTTAGAGCGGAGACCGTAATTTATCGCCTTCGACGAGTTGCACACTAATGCCTCGCAGCCGCGCCGGTCACACTGGTCTTGTCTACAACGCGTTATCAACTCGGACGTCGGATCAAAACAATAACAGTATTATCATAATATTGTTAACACCATGAACTTACAACTGTTGAGCAAACCGAAGACACTGTCAGCCACTCTGTAGACTCGCCGATGATAATAATAATAATAGTAAATAATACAAATATTACACAACAGACTTCGGAATATTGGACTATTGGAGTTGTAGGTACCTATCGAGTTGTTTTAAACTACCACCACGACTACCGAGGCGCCGAGTGCCGATTGCCGACACTTTACGTTCCGCAGTCGTCCGCTTCGTTTGTCTTCTGATCGACGTAGACGCGTTTCTGGTTCTAGTCATCCCGGACTATAATTATTTGTACCAACGTTGTGTTAAACCAATTGGCAGGACCATGGCGAAGAAGTTATTGGGATTGACCGCTGGACTCGCCAAGTCCTCAGCTTTGGTTCGTAACCGCAATTGTAAGTTTATAACATTGTGTCGTATCTATAACTGTTAGATTTCATCTCACGCATTTACCCTGTGGGTAGGGTACCTATCTATGAAATTAATTGAATTTTAATCGATGATACAAATCAACCATTGACTGATGGTATGGCCGTATGTGTTTGCAAAATGTATTTGTCCGACAGTTGTATGATATTGCGATGCACCTAATTTTTAATAGTTGTGGTGTTAAGATAAACAAAATGCAGGTTTTCGAAAATTTTTGAATCAATAATTAATTAACTTCACTTGAGAGCATTATAGTTTATTGTTAAATACGAGTTTTAAAATTAAAATATTATATTGGTAGATTATAATATGATCTGGGTATTTATTTTAAATTCATGATTTAGTAAATTATTGCATTATTCACTAAGATGTTTGAATTGAAGTGAAATCAAACATTTTTATTACCTATCCATTGTTACCCACCTAGTTAGGTACTTATTTAATTGTTAATTTACTAACATGAAATCTATGACATTATACTTATAATAATATTATTTGCCGTTTACATTGATAATTAATATAAGACAAATATTTTTAAATAATTCCATAAATTATTATCAGAATTTCATTTAAGCTTACCTCCCTTTCTTTTTTTTTAGATTTATAGACTTTCGAATCTTAATTTGATTGGAATATTTTTAAATGTTTTTCATGTAAAAAAAAATTATTATAAATTGTTACTTACTGCCACATTTAGATTATTATGTTGTGAGCGGTTCAAATAGACTTTTTAAACTATGTAACTATTATAATATAGTTTGAGGTAGAAAATTATTGTTTTACTAATCATAACTCCCGGAAATTAAATGTTGTAGGTAGATGATTATCAAGAGTTACAAAGTGTATATTATAGCTTCACAGTACAAAAAAAAAAAATAGGTCACATAGGTATTGTGGTTTGATATAGATAGTCAGTATTAAGGTACACTTGTAATTATCTGACTTAGATACATTATATATCACTATAATCATTAGGTTATAACTAATAAGTACTTAATACTCAATTGTATATTGTTTATTAACTAATATCTATTAATATTACAATAATTTAAAACTAAGAACGAGCACTATTATTTTTAACATCAGTTAAGAGGGTGCTACACCCAAATGTATTGTCTCAATTTTACAAATTTAAATGGATTATTCAGAATGTACAATTTTTTATGTTATGCATGTGTAAGACTGAGACAAGTAGAAGTAGGCAATGCGAACAAGTGTAGCGTCTCCTAAAATAATATAAACAAATTTGAAAAATATCAATGAAAAAAAGTTTCTTCTTTAAAAAAAAAGAAGACATACCTCAAGAATAACAATTGATTCTGCAAAAATTATGACAAAAAAAGCAAAATAATCATAATTTAAAAAAAATCCAAACTGTCTTATAGATACTGACATATTACCTAAACAAATCTGAAATCACAAAAGTTCTAAGTTGTTCAATAATATTATGTTATAAATTGTTATTGTTTATAAATTGAATGAAACTAGTTTTTTTCAAAGCTTACAATTGCAACTAGGTAGTAATGTAGTATGTATCTTTGTAATTTGGTTTTTATATTATATTTTAGATGCTACAGCTTCATCGAGAATCTTGGTTAAAAATCCCATAGTTGAAATGGATGGTGATGAAATGACAAGAATTATGTGGGAAAAAATAAAAGAAACACTCATTTTTCCTTATATCAAAGTTTGTTTTACAATATTTTTTGTCTGTATCAATTTTTTGTAATTCATTTCAACTCTTAGTTAGATTGCTTGTACTACGATCTTGGTCTACCCAATAGAGATGTGACTGATGATCAAGTAACTATAGATGCTGCAGAAGCTACATTAAAATATAATGTGGGCATTAAATGTGCAACGATAACACCAGACGAAGCTCGTGTTGAAGGTACAAACTTGCTTAATACTGTAATTAATTTCACAACACTCAATTAATTTAATACTTGTATTTTATAGAATTTAAATTGAAAAAAATGTGGCTCAGTCCTAATGGTACAATACGTAATATTCTTGGTGGAACAGTTTTTAGAGAACCAATTATATGTAAAACTATTCCTAGACTGGTCCCTGGTTGGACCAAACCTATTGTTATTGGCAGACATGCCCATGGTGATCAATACAAAGCTACTGATTACTTAGTAACCAGGCCTGGCCAAGTAAGTAATAACTAATTTGAACTAATGGCTATCTTTCAATATGTGATAAACTCACACCAATTTCCAATGCATTATTACTGTATTAATAATATAAGTATTGTACCTACATGGTCTACAAACACATTTCTTAAATTAAGTGATTTTAACTGAAATAGATAGCTAATTAATAAAATTAAAATAATATTGGGTATGACATAATAGATTTAAAAAATAAGTATATTCAGGTATTTATTAAATAACTGTTGATTCTGGAGACTATCCCAACTATTTGTAGTAAGAACACAATAATAATGAGCATAATTATTTTTGATTATCTAGTTGGAATTAGTTTTTACTGATCACAAAGGGCAAGTAGAAAAGCTTAAGGTGTTTGATTTCAAATCCCCTGGTGTTGCGATGGCCATGTATAATTTGGACGATTCAATAGCTTCATTTGCTCACTCCAGTTTTCAAGTTTGTTTAAACAAATAATTATACCTACATTTTATTAATTAGTTGTAATTATTATTATTTATTAGTATTATAAAATGTTTATAAAAAGGTGGCTTTGTCAAAAAAATGGCCGCTTTATTTATCTACAAAAAATACCATTCTTAAAAAATATGATGGAAGATTCAAAGACATTTTTCAAGATATTTTTGAAGGGTAAGTGATTAAGTGAATTTAATTTTATAGATTGAATTGTAATTTAACTATTTTATTTATAGGAACTACAAGTCTCAATTTGAAGCAGCTAAAATTTGGTATGAACATCGTTTGATCGATGACATGGTAGCACAAGCATTAAAAGGAGATGGTGGTTTTGTATGGGCATGTAAAAATTATGATGGAGACGTCATGTCCGATATTATTGCTCAGGGATATGGTTTGTGGAAATAGCTTTCTTGACAGTTTGATTTTTAATTAGTTTACCATCGTAGTTTATTTATTAATCTATTTGTAGGTTCATTGGGCCTTATGACATCAGTTCTCGTTTGCCCTGATGGTAAGACAATAGAATCAGAAGCTGCTCATGGAACAGTCACCAGACATTACAGGTAATAATATTCATGCTGAATCAATGGTGTATATAAAAAAAAACTGGTGTTGCTCAAATCATTTTTGGTAACCTACCCCTGTAATACTGTTATACCGACTTATGAAGTGTTCTATTTTTCTTCTATAAATTCCCGCACCCACCCATATTTAAGGTGTTGCCTGAGCAACACTTAAACTCTATGTTACACGTCACTGTGCTAAATATGATTCAATAAATGTAAATTAACAAATATATTATTTTCAGACAACACCAAGAAGGAAAACTAACCTCAACAAATCCCATTGCTTCAATTTATGCTTGGACTCGTGGTCTTAAGCACAGAGCAAACCTTGATAACACTCCTGAACTTACCAAGTAAATTTCATGAACATTGGTTGTTTAAATGTATTAACTAATACTAATCTGATCATAATATTATAGATTTTGTGATACATTAGAAGAAGCTTGTGTAGGAAGTGTTGATGCTGGCCATATGACTAAAGATCTTGCAGCTTGTATACACGGTTTAAAAAATGTAAAAGAAGGAATGTACTTGAACACTAATGAGTATTTGGATAGTGTGAAAGAACATTTGGACATTAAATTAAAACCGTAAGGATAAATAATTGAGAGACAATACAATTTAGTGTATATCAAATTATTACATTTAGAGCATTCATTCAGAATTTAACTCAAATTGTTGATATTGATATACATAAACCTAAAATAATTGCATTTGTTTGAAATTGAATATTTTTAATTTTAGTAATATATTATTTAAATCTTCTAAAATTCTCTTTTTAACCCCATGATTTGTTCCTGTGTACAGGGATACAAAAAAACTGTTTGCATCAATTGGTGCAGTTTGACAAGTTTGACCTTTTGCTGCAATTACAATTTATTATTCTATTATACAATATGCATACTTTTTATACTTAATATAATATATATTTGAATAAGATGATATTTATATTTTAATAATTGCACTTTTATGATCAAATTTGCACATAATAAATAAAAATTGAAAATTCATATCTTATTTTCTGCTTTCATTTAATATCGTAATTTATTATACTTACATAAACATCTCATTTTTATTTTTATAAAATATATTGTGCTTTCTTATAACTTGATCTACATGTCTTCACTTATATAACAGATATTATTTACAAACTATATTTGTGGAATAAAAATATATTACAAAAATTATTTATTTCAAATTTATATTTAAATGTTTTATTATTGAAGTTTTGTTTACATTTAACTACTAAAATTTGTCAAATATGTTATTGTAAAAGTATCTTGCTTTTTTAATTAAATATTCCTTCTAATCTACTTTTTAATTAAACTAGATAATTCACATGATGGGACAAAAAGCACGTTATTTGCAGATAGGTTGAATAGCACTTCATCATCTATACTTTATTGCACACTTACATTTTTCAGATATGATCAATGAAATAAATGCTTTATATTTTTGGCATGTACTTCTAATATTAACCATTGTTATGTTAACATTTCAAATTTGTATGCTGCTAAATGACTCATTGTTGTGTTAGTTACAATATTCTATTGAAGTTCTATTTGTTACTATGATAGTGTTGATAATTAATTGTAATGCTCAAAATTAATTCTACTGTAAAAAAAACATATTGTCAGTATTTATAAATGATGCCTTGCTTGAATAATACAATATGTATTTTTATATCTACAAACCTTTGTATGGAATAAGTTATATGAACATTTTATTTTTTTGTGAAGATTGTTTAGTTTGCTGTCACAAACAGCATGTTATTCAATAATTCAGTTCATACAGATTGTTATTTTTATATTGTTAAAATTTACTTTTTAATTTATATGGATTTAAGTCATTATACAATTATTATTGTTTAGATTGTTATTTTATGAAAAATATAAATTTATTTATTGATAATTTATATTTATATTTTATTGCATATACTGTGAAAAATTTTAAACACATACCGATACATACACAGTACACACCTAGTAACTTTAATGTATTGACAATGTGGAACTTATTCAAAAATAGGATGTGCAATTTATTATAAACTCATAACAATAATGAGTAGGTATCTTCAACAAATTAATTAAAAAACTAATAACAATTCTTACTTAATGTGTTACAAATTAAATTATTTGATTCATACATCTTTAAGAAATTATTCACACTAAAAATGTAATTTAATATTTTTAAATTACATGATCATTGATCACAATATAATAGGAATATGGGTCCAATAAAAGCGGTTTTTAAAAGTATTTCTTAAAATAATCTAAATCAGAACAATACATTTTAAATACGTACAAATATATAATATAGTAAATGATAAAGGATGTTTATATGACATTTTTGAAAACAAAATAATTGTTAAGTCAGTCAAGCGGTAGGACATAGGAAGTTTATTTCCTGGACACTTGTTAGATAATGAATAATGACGAGTGACACATCATTATGACATTAATGGGTTAACACACACTTAATGATCAATTACATTTCCTAAATTGACACAGTCGATTAACATTATATAAATATTTACAAATTGAAAAATACCTTAAGGTACAGATATTAATATTATTGCTCAAGATACATATGGCAGCACTATAAATTAAAATAGTTTAAATCAAATGAAAGATTAAACAATTTATGATATTAACATTCACAAGTGATTTAAAAATGATAATGAATAATATATCAAATCTCTGTTTATTGGTTGTTCGACTTTTTAAACATATCGAAAAAATGTAATTTTAATAAAGCACCCTAATATTACTATTTTTTTATGACATAATTCACCTGTGTAACATAATTTTAAAAGTAATTTCATTCATTTCAAGTCCAACAATACAAAACAAAATTTGATTTACCATCACTTATAAATTTAATAATTTTTATTGAATTTTGATGTTCAATACAAACAAAAGTTGATAATTTATTATAATAGGTATAAAGTACATTTGCCAAAATCTTAGAATTTTAGATATTTACAACTAAATTTTATTTATAACGAATAGATGAAGTTGTAATTATCAATTAATATTAAATGGGTAATTAGATAGTTCATACGGGCTTACGGCATATATAATATTATATACACTTAAAAACCTTTTAATGAGAATCATATTTGTGATTTAATAGATTTCAAAAATGTTATTTTTTATATTAAATTTATAGACAACAAGTTAGCCTTTATGTGCAGCAATACTATTTACTATTATTTATGAAACACGAAAAAATTAGTGACTAAAATCGATTTTCCTAAAAGAAATATGTCATCGATATGTCTATAAGAACTCAGTCTGTATTTCGCCCCTTGTCTTGTTTTCAATACAATAGCTCATAAGTCATAAGTATTAAGTAGGTAATGCTTTTACGAAGTATAATAATATTTACAACACATTTTACCAATTACTAAATGGAATTTAAATCGATTGAGAACGAACTGATATACAGTGGACGCCGCTTATAAGACTCACGGATATAAGGTTCAGTCGCTTATTAGACTCAAAATTGTCTGAAACGGTCGGGACTTATCCAAATACGTTATAAAAAAATCGGTAACAAGACTCAACAATTCGTTTATAAGACTCAAATTTTGTAAAAAATAAACATTTTTATTCAAAATTTAGAAATTAATTAATGTTTTTTGCTTAATTATGAGTGTATGTACAACAAATTGTATCGTCTTTCACATTTTCCAATATATTTCCGGAATATTAGCTTATTATAACTAAAAAAAAAAAAACAAAATCACAATTTTTTTCATAAATAATAAATAGGTACATTATTCATACACCTTTTATAATTTTTTATTAATGCATAATATAATCATTTTTTACGTGTATTATAATTTTAATTTTTTTATCAGAATTTTTTTAATTTATTCAATAATACGTATGTCATATGTAATATGTATTAGAGAATTAAAATTAAAGAAAAATGTGAAGTAAAATAAAATTCATAAATATGTAATCAATTTTTTTTCCCACTTCGCCTATAAGATTCATTCGGTTATAAGACTCACTTTGTGCTGGTCCCAATGTGAGTATTATAAGCGGCGTCCACTATATTATTATAATATTATATCGGGCGCATGGTTATATAACTATGGATGTTAGTTTAATACTAAAATGTATCATAATATTATACTACATTACGTCATAATTTAAAAGTTTACCGATTTTGAAAATTAAATGAATATAATAATTTATTAGGCTTAGGTATACACCTATTATTAGTATTATTATGTGTACATTTTAGGTATAATGGTTAGTAGGTAACTTAGTGTGTCGTATTGTCGTTATCAAGGCGGCTAGTTGGGGGAAGGGGTCAATGGTAAAAAAAAAAACCTAACCCCCCGCTATTTAAATGATATACGTTGTACGAATATTAAATTATTTAAATCACGGACTTAAGATTTATGCGATTTACGAAATATTTTTTGTTGGCCCCCCCGTGAAATATTTCTACAAGCGGCCTTGGTTGTTATACTCACTATAATTATTATAGAAACGAATGTCTATGAGGTCTATGTTAAACGAGGACTATGACCATTGCATGGCAAATGATAAGAAGTTAGAACTAAAAAACGAGTTCTAAAATATCTATACGTATTAGTAAAAATCATGACTGAAAAATATTTTATTTAGTCATAACTCATAGTAAAAAATATTTAATATGCTCAATCGTCGTTCGAGAAGTACGAGTGTGGTTATATATACTTATATACTTATATCTATTCTGAGACATACATGCACCTAACCTAGTAAATAGTAAAATTTGTAATTTGTAAAAACACGACGAAAGGCGTCTTTCCCCGCGGATCTACTGCGGTTAGGTATATTGTTCTGGTCAAAACAATATATTATTTTAAACTGCAAACAGTCAACAGTGAACATAAAACTATGGCTTGAAAAAATATTATACAGTAATGCGTATTTTAAAGTCATTATCTACTCATTACTATACTGTTTAACCAATTTTACTAATAAATAGCGATATATCAAATAAGACACTGAAACGAAAATGAACCCAAATCTATATTTGGCCTTTTTTTACAGTTAAGCTAAAAAACATTCAATTCGGCCAATTCACATTTTTGCAAACTCCGTATATTATTGTAATACAGGAATGCTTTAATCATTTTTACTTTTTTGTACAAAACATTTTTTTTTTAAAAAACACGCAGATGATCCATATTCTTGGTCGATATTTCTAATATCGGGGTATCAATGATATTTTTAAATACCATCGTATTACCTTAATACCTTAACTTCTTAAAGATTATAGTTTTGTGTGGGAGGTGCAGCGGAGAAGATTGAAGGGTAGGGTAGTAAATGTATAGGGTGTGAGCCGTGAGGTCTTCATAATGAAAGAGAAAGCCGAAACGAGGTCATTCCGCATCGGTCGTTTATATAACATTATGAAAAGATGTTATTCTTAAATGCAGTATATTATACATTTATACAGGGTGATTCTTCTAACAGTAAACACTCATTATTTCAAAAAGTATTCATTGTTTCGCATAAAAAGTCATAACGAAACAACATTTTTGAAAAAAAAATATTTTTTTATCGTTTCATCTATTTCAGATTTTAAATGGAGGTACAAATGTATTGATTTAACAATGATGTGTGTCTTAAAATTTTTTTTCTATGCTCAATGCATTTTTAAAATATTTAGACTAAATGTGTTGTTTAAGTGTTAACGCAAATGTTTGGGCTTGGGCGAAAAGCTCGAAAATTTAATGCAAGGTTCCACATAATCTAAAAAATGTCTTAGGTATTACATTTTTTCTTACGAACATTTGGAGTTAAAATTATGGTGAAATTGGATATTTAAACGACGAATTATACAATTTCAGTTATTTTGTTGTATTTCATAAGTAATAGGTATATTGATATGTTAATGTTGCGTACTATCCACAATGACGTTTTCAAAATATTTAAATTCATTTCAAGCTTATTTATATCACAAACTTATGCACACCGTTCTACGGTAGTCGGTATTGATTCAAAAGTTAATAAAAATAATATAAAAATGTTTCCGCCAAAAATCAATTGAACTTAGAAACCCTTACCATATTACTGATATTAAAATAAAGTACAATAATAGTTAACTATATATAAATATATAAAATAATTATTACAATATACCTACAACATAGGTACTTATTAATATAGGCTGAGACAATCTTCGCTCAGAATCGTTTTTCGTATGCACCGAATAACGATTAATCATTGAATTCAAATTTTACACTTGCCATTACAGTGACCTACCCAATGAGGACAGGTTCACCGACACCTATACAAGACTACAACTGTAATACAGAGCGGTTACATCTACTTTGCCACTTTTTTTTACTACTCTCGTCTTTACTTATAAACACCGTTTATCCAGCTCACTATAAACTCTTCCAATATTTGATTTCTAAACAATTGTCTGAAAAAATATATTGTCTAATCGTATGAAATTAAAAACGCATGTTGCAGGTAATCACTCGAAAAGCAAAAAACCCAAAAACAGTTATAACAACAGTATAAAAAAAATGGTAAAAAATATAAACTGCGTTGCAGTTTATTGTAATATTAACTCAGATTTTGTAAATAAAATATTGTTATTTTTGAAAC